GGGAAGTACACTTAAAACACACCTACTACATTCAACAATAGGGAGTTTGTGTCAACAAACGCCATTTAGTGAGGTTTACTAGCGTCATCTTTATGGAATACCATTCCTGATTAAAAGAATGAATGACAGGGGAGGTTTAATTACACTTCAATATTTGGCCAATGTTCTAAAACATGACCTTAACCTGTCCCGTTGAGATAATCCATTGACAGCAATATATTCAATGATAAAATGTATGCTCTCAAGAGGAAAAAAAAAATCTGGGCAAACCTGCATCCACCACTATCAACCTGACAGACTCCCAAGTAATCATAACACTTTCTGGTGAAATCTGTGGTGATATCAAAATAATCAACATAAGACCACTTGATTAATTTTACTTAAATGTGTTAACACTAGAAGGTTTATATAGCTTGGTCAAACAATGCATGACTTTAAAAAAAATATCATGCATTAGCACAAGATCAATTCAATGTATAAGACACATCCAGACTTTAATGGATAAAATATGGACTATTCAATGACAGTATTTTATGGTTCTTGTGGAAAAGAACTTTTAAGAAGCTAACACTTGTATCATTTTAGTGTAGTATCAAAGATGAATACTGGGAACATTATTAAAAACATTCCTCTTATAAATATTTGTGTGAGGCTACATTTTTTTGTTTAAACCAAAGTCACAAGTTAAATGCAAATATGAATATCTAGCATTCTCTGATGACAAATAAAATTGTAAAAAGTAAAATGATCCATTTTTCCTAATAAATATTTTAATTTGGGAAAAGTTATTTTCTTTGAAACTACTGTTTCAAAGAGTGCCGCACATTTTTCATGCAATTATTTAACATGCAATTAGTTATTAATATTCAGGAGGAATAAAATATCTGGAAAATGGCATTAACTTCTAATATGGCAAATATTGATAGACATAACCCACATAAATCTAACTATCTCTGGAGTGCACATTACTTTCTAAGAGCATATAAAGATCCTGAAACCAAAACGATTGAGAACTGCTGATTTTACACCCTGAGGCAGAAATCAAGGGATGGTGAGACAAAGAATGATTAGTAAGGAGGAGGGTTCAGGGCAAACTCCCAGCCCTGGGCATGGCTCTCAGGGTCTAGAGCTGGGTCTGGGGTGTGGACAGGGAGCGCTGAGAATCCCTGTCTCCAGGGAGTTTCACTTTTCTCCTCCCAACCAGAGCCGGGTCATTCTGCCTGGACACTCCTGACTGGTCCACAGTTCTCACTCCCATGTCGTCTTCTCCTAAAGAAGCCAATCTTTGTCACTGCGGTTTGAATTTTAAAGTCCACAGCGACCTCCCCCCTCTCGCCCACTCCAAGTCGCAGAATCTCCACAGAGCTGCAGGACGAGGGTGCTGGCGCCCCGAATGCTGCTCCTCCTGCTCTTGGGGTCCTTGGCCCTGAGGGACACTTGGGCGGGTGAGCACAGGATTGGGAGGGAAATAGCCTCCAGGTGGGAGGAGCGAGGGAACCATCTGGTGAGCACTCAGGACCTGGGGAAGGTGCTTCCCCTCCGCGCCCACCCCAGACCCTCCCCTGCATAGCATGGTTCTTCCCGACCCTCCCGCCCCTATGTCCTGCCTTGCTGCTCCCACCGCCCCCTTAGCGTCTCTGGACCCAGCTCCTCTCCTCCTGGGGTAGTCAACCTGGGACCTGGTTGGGTGGTCTCAGTGGCTCCCTTCCCCAGGCTCCCACTCCCTGAGGTATTTCGACACCTCCGTGTCCCGCCCCGGCGGGGAGCCCCGCTT